GGCATGCACCACCATGCCTGGCTAATTTTTGTATTTTTTAGTAGAGATGGGGTTTCGCCCTGTTGGCCAGGTTGGTCTCCAACTCCTGACTTCAGGTGATCCCCTTGCCTCTGCCTCCCAAAGTGCTGGGATTACAGGCGTGAGCCGCCGCGGCCGCCCTGTACGGACTTTAGAGTGAACATATCTTTCACGTTATTTGATACAAGTCCGTGATTGTGCTGGGGGCCGTTCTGTGGCCAGGGTCAGGGCTTGGTCTGTGGCTAGTAGTGTTGTTGGTCTGTGACTGAGTCAAGCTGGGTCTGTGGTCAGGTTCGTGGTGTGGTTTGAGACAGGAATTGTGGCATGGCCTGTGGCCATGGTCATAACTCAGTCTATGGCCGAACCGAAAGTCGAGGCTGTGGTTGAGGTTGAGGTTTGGGCCACGGCTAGTCTCAGACCTGAGCTACCCTCAGGACAATTCTACAACCTGAAGTCAGCCTCAGTCTTTAAGCGCATTCCTGGTGGATGGCTGGACCCGCCAGGTTGCCCTGGAAGCTGGATTTCTTCCTGGCTCCTCCAGGATGTTGGCTCCAGATGCTGCGTACTCGGGCGGATAGGCCCTTCCAGGGCTCCTGGCGTGTCCCCTGAAACAGACGAGCACATGAGCTCATCAGTGGCACATATAGCAGTTTGGGAGATAGTTAGGACATGTTTCTATAGCAACCAACCCCCAACCAGCACTGGTTTCCTTCAATAATGCCTTTTTCTGGAAGCAGCTTCTCCTGGCCTCTCATCTCTCCCTGGACAGCCCTACTTCAAGGCTGAGGATGGGCTGGCTGGCCCTGGACTGGTCTGGTCTCCAAATTCACCCTGATCCAGAGAGGAAGCCTGAGGACATTCCCTCAGGGGTGCTCCTCTGAGAGGGGGCCTTGCTAAGATCTCCCCTGTGCCGGGCCACACTGAGCTTGACCAGAGCCTTCCCCGTGCCCAGCCCTGACCTGGCGGAGGATAGGAGCCTAGAGAGGATTCCTACCAGGTGTCTGCCCAGGGGAAACCCACAACCCAGTGGAGCAGGCAGGCCTGGACCCAGTCTGTAAATAGGGACTCTGAGGGACACAGATGCTGGACATGAAGGACACACAAGGAGACAGGCGCTCGGGCTGGCCTCAGGAGCCAAGAAGGACTTCCAGCTGATGCTTCAAGCATCAATAGGAATTGGGGGTGGGATGGGGAGATAGAAGACGTTTCAGGCTTCAGGACCTGCAGGAGGAAAGGCCTGGGGAGGAAGAGGAGCATGGCGTGAAGGCCCTCCTGGTGGCAATGTGCTGCTGAAGCCCAGGATGCTGGAAGGAGAGGCTGGGAGGGGAGAGCAAGTCCTGGCCTGCAGTAGTTCAAGTTTAGGGGGCAGACAAGGCAAGCCCCAGGGAGCTGCGATGGGAGGGAGGAGAGAGGGACTGGCCCCATGAGTGTGGGCGGGGGCAAGCATTTCCAGCCTTTGGGGAGTGGAGGGGCTCCCATTCCAGGGGCCTGAGAAGGAGGAGAGGGGCCTGTCCTTGGAAGCTACCGCGGATGAAAGAACCAAAGAAAAGCTCTTGGAGAATCACGATTTATTATTTTCTTTAACACACCCTTTTCTAGCACTGATGGAGTCTCAGGCGCTCTGCTGAACCTTTTAAAGTGTTTGTTCATGTAATCCTCACTGCGACACTATGTAAGCGTGATTATCCTCCCCATTTTACAGAGCAGGAAACTGAGGCACAGAAGGTTTCCTGTCATTTAGTAAGATCACGAATCGGTAAGTGGCAGAACTGGGGCTGAAAGCAGTCAGGTGGCAGTGGGACGGTGGTTCCCTTGAGGGAGGAGGAGGCAGACGGGAGGTGGGCTTGACAGTTACCTGCCTGTCCGCGGGAGCCTCGGCCAGGCTGTAGGAAGCACTGCACTCCACGTTCTGCGTTTGGACCCCAGGGACCCCAGGGCAGAGCTGAGAGCACTGAAGTGTGATTCTAAGTGCGTGTGTGTCTGTGTCTGTGTCTGTGTGTGTCTGTGTGTCTGTGTG